TAGGTGTAATCACAAGTATTAAGGCAGGAAAGGCAGAGCAGGAGGGGTGAAGGATACATTGTCCTCACAATGCCCACTGAGGACAAGGACACTGGGAAGTGCACTTCCGAGGACAGTAAAGGGGTGAGGGTGAGGGCTACGGTCATCCCTGCTAGCGCTGGGGGAGAGTGTGGTGGCACAGAGTCAAGGCTACATGGATGTGGGTATGGGGGCTCTCTGCAGCCCAGGTGTGTGTGCGGCTGTGGAGATGGGGTGTCTCCGCATCCCGGGCCCGTCAGGAGGAGAGTCCCCTGCAGCTTTTCCCCTTCCAGTGTCCGGCTGGCGGGTGCATGGTTACACTGCGTGGTGCTGCTGTGTGGAACCACGGTGACGGCCTGGCTGGGGAGGAGTGCATTTACGCTGCCTGTAATAAATATCCTAATTGCTTGAAAGAAACCAGCGAGATGAGCAGGCCTGTGTTTAGAAACACTGGCAGCGTCCTGAATCAGGAAAGTGCTAGAGTCCTCCCTGGAATAAAGCAACTCAGGTTCCTAAGCAGGCTGAGCCTGCGGCCAGCATGCGCCCTCGGGCAACTGCTGTGGCCTGGGCAGGGTCAGCCTGCTGCCTGCTTGTCACTGGGATGGGAGGTGAGGCTCAGAGCAGCACAGGCGAGGAGCGCAGGTCTGTGTGGGCTCCGCATAGGGACTGACAAAGGAGCGTGCAGGGGCCTTTGGGCTTGGAAACCGAGGTACAGCATGCAGGGGAGACCTGCCAGCTCAGTTCAAGCACCTGTAATCCGTGTCTGTGCTGGCAGGCAGTGGAGCCTGGACGGGAGCAGAGGCGCAGGATGTCAGGGAGAAACTCAGGAGCCAGAACACATCCCCAGGGTGCGCTCCGAAAAGGTTTCCTACAGAGAGCGGCATCTGGGGCCCCAGTGGGAACAGAAGCTGCGGGGACAGCCCAGCCGGCAGCAGCCAGGCCTCAGGGGAGTGCAGGGAAGTCAGGGCCAACGGCGGGTGATGGGAGATGGATGTAGAAGTGAGCAGATGGCTGCCCGGGGAAGCAGAAACTCCGGGAGGAGCGGGCGATGGCCAGTGTCCGAGCCCGAGCCGGTGCTGGATTTGATCGATGCACTCTCAGGAGCCGCCAGCTCTCCAGGGTCGAAGGCTCGGTGGCCCTGAGGGAGGCAGGTGCACGAGTCTCCTGTCACTTCCGGCCCCTTGACAAGAGGGAGCAGCATCTGGCCTGGAGCCATGCTGAAGTGGGCCAAGGGAGGAGATGCCACGCTCATTCCTTGCTCCCCCAGACTGCGCCCTCCTGCCCTAAGGTGGCCCCCCTAGTTATTCCTCAGGACCTGGATATGGCCCCTCTCCTCTGGAACTCTGCAGAGGCCCCTGAGGAGAGCTCTCTGCAGCATCCACGCCCTTCACCTGTACACATGGCCTGTGGCTCTCTCATCCTGTGTGGCTGTGGTTGGGGATTTATTTCCCCACCAGCCCGGGAGCTCCTCAGAGGACATCATCCCAGATTGTGAGCTGCACCTGGAGGGCTTGGGATGAATGAATGAATTGATGAATGGATGAATGAATGAATGTCATTGATGAAGGTTGTGCTGGGCTGTGGGCTGGCTCTGGCCTGTCCTCCAGACAGCTCCCCAGTCCTGCTCTGTACAGCATCATCAGCCTGTCAGGCCATGCAGCTTCAAACCTGGGTTACATATTTACAGAAGCCAAGAAATTGATTAAAGGAAATGCTGTGGACAGCAGCCGTGGTTATTAATAAGTCATAACCAGGCTGCTTCTCCAATATCGTATGACAGAGCTCCTGAGGAGAAGTCTGTGCAGCCAGCCAGAGGCCTGGAGAAGAGGGACGCAAAGGAGAGGGCCCAGGGCCGAGAGGACCCACAGTGCAGAAATGGAGGCCGGGTTGCTGCCACTCTGCAGACCACCCGTGGTCCCACTGGGGCCAGGACCCTCTTTCCCTGTGAATTGGCTTCGTTTCCTGCAGCTGGGGGCAGTGGTGTGGAAGGGCAGGCTCTGAGGCTTTGTCTACCGTGTGGAGACCTCCAGGCCAGTCACGTGCTCAGCACACAGCTAGCTGCAGCACAAGTTAAGCTCTGGGCCAGTGCTGGAGAGCCCAGCCTTCCTGGGGCAGCCTCACCTGCACAGGGGGCATCTCCAGACATCAACCTGCCCCAGCCTGAGGGCTCAGTCCCTGTCTAGAGAGCCTAGCCTCGCTGACGATTCCCTGGGCTGCTGTGGAGTGCTTCTTATGCACCATGCACGGGATGCTGTGGGCTGCAGGACAGAGCCGTGCATGTGGCCTGGAATGTTCCATGGCTTCGGTCCCCAGTGACAAGCCCAGAGATGGCTGGGCAAACATCAGTGGGGGGCAGAAGTTCTAAGAGCCCTAGCAGATTGCCCGAGAGGAAAGAATTCCGGATAAGGTAGTGGAGGCCTGAGCTCACCTGCCCATAAGGAGAATCCTCTCTCCACGCGTCGGATGGAGGAAATTTCAGGTTGGAGATCATGGGCGGTTAAAGAATTAAATGCCAGACATCAATGAATTAATTTTTTTTTTTGAGCAGTACTGGGCATTGAACTCATGATCAAGTACAGCATCTCCACATCCCCAGGGCGGACGTAATCCCAGCCTTGGAGAGAGATCTGCTGGCATGTGCAGAGCCCAGCCCTACACTCCCTGACTCGGTGGAGATCAGGAGGATGCAGAGGCTCCTGCCATTGGGTCCCACAGGGCGCCCCTCCCCAGCAGGCAGGGCTGCAGAGCTCACGGGGCAGAGGCGCTGGACACCTGGCCATAATGGCTGCTTTTTCAGGGCTGGGGAAAGCTTTCTGGGGAGGGCAAGGCTTTCGGAGCGTGGAAGAGAACTCAGCGGGCCCCAGGGCCTTTGGCTCTCCAGCCATTCTCACCAGGGGCAAAGGAAGCCAACTCCATACGGAGTGGAAGCCTGTGCAAAGGGTCCCTCCTGACCAACCCCGAAACAAGTGCGCTGGGACGTTGCTAAATTACAGAGTGGAAAGATTCAGATTATGTTGTTCTGTGTTGGTGGCGATGGAGAGAGTGCGGGGACAGGCTGGTGCAGGCAGGCAGCAGTGCAAGGGCACCTGCGGAGCCAATGGCCATAGAAAGGTCCACCCCTCCACCCGGGGAGCTCACCGTAGGCAGCAGGGCTCCTGGAAACGTATTCCGCACAGAGCTGTCCACTGCGCGATCCCATTTTCCCAGTCACCATTGCCATGGTAACCCCCACTCTGCCAGGCACTCTGCCGGGTGTGGCTGTTCCCTGTGTGTGTCCCTGCTGACCTGCAGCCAGCGCCTTGTGGAGCTCACAGAGCTGGCCTTGATGCCAGCCCAGGCCTCGGTTCAAAGCCTGCATTTCTCCACCTGGGCCCTGCGGTCTCCTAACCGAGATCACTGAGGTTGTAAAAAATGCAAATGCTCAGCAGAGTGGGCGAAACCTCTGGGTGACACATGGTGGCCCTGGGTCAGGCTGAAGGGAGGCAGAAAGCGCTGACTCCGTGCAGTCACGTGGAGGGGGAAGGCACGAGGAGCTGTCCTAAGTGAGACTCTGCCCAGTGCAGACCACCAGTGGCAGAGCAGCTGTGTTTCCGGCAGGAGCTGGCCACGTGGTGCTCCTGGCCACTCTGATCGCCCTTCCTTGTGGTCTCTGGAAGACCTCACAGCCCCCAGGGACCACCAAGCCCCTTCAGAGACAGCCCAGGCCTGGCCAGCACAGTCAGTGCCCACTGCCAGTGGATGGCCACATGTGGTGGAGGGCCACCTGGGTGCTGGAGAGAAGAGATAACAGTGGGCATTGACCCTGCTGTGGTCAGAGTGCCAGCCCGCCACCCAGGGTCTGTGGGTGCCCCCACTAAACCCAGGATCAACCCGAGCATGGAAAAGCCAGCAACCCCAAGACTGGGCGGTGTCTTCAGACAGCAGTTGAGTATGGGGATATATGGAATGCCGTGTTAACACCCGGCGTGTCCTCTGATGTCTGTCTGACCACCATGCCTTCTATCCACTCCCTGCGCACACACACAGCTGGATCCAGTCCCATTTCCGCCCACCTCACCTCTCCATCTGGAGGGCTAGGAAGACAGCCACGAAGGTGACTGTCAGTCATGGGCTGTCTGTCCTGGCAGGGGAGGGCGTGGCTCTCTGCAGAAGCTTCAGGACGAAGGTTCTGTGACAGAGGCAGCATTTTGGGCCAGAGCTTAAAGTATGTACGGGAGCTGCCGTCCAGTCAAAGCTGGGCTCAGAGCTGAGAGAGGATGGAGGGAAGTCCATCTAGCGGGACAAAGTGGTGGAATGCAGGCCATGCCCAGAGAGCTTCAGTCACGTGATAAAGGGAGGAGCTTATTCCCGCGATTGCGCTCCAATCAACAGTCAGATCTGTGCTCTGAGAACTGCAAGTCTGATGACGTTTTGACTCAAAATTATTCCTCCCGAGTCCAGGATGGCCTCTCCTAGTGACCATGTCAGCAACCTGGTGATATTGGCAAAGAAGAGAGGGGTGTCCTTGGGGACTGAGGAGACAGATACATGGGGAAGGTGGAGCTGGAGGGGACAGAACCCGTGACCTGTGACCGGTAGTACAGCCCTGCAGCCCTGCAGAGTGCCGGACAGTGCAGGCAGCTAGGCTCACGGGCTCCCAGAAGCCCCTGCGACAGGAGCAGGGCCCCCCGGCTCTTCAGGGAGCCACCAGCAAATCACACCAAGTAGCTGAGGCAGGGCGGAGCCCGGGAAACTGAGGAGAAGGGCTTCAGTGGGAGGGAACCCTCGTGCCTGGGTGCGTGGGTGATAAACCTTGAGACACAGACTCTGGGACTCTGGGACCACAGAAGCCTGAGGCCACAGGCTGTCCACCTCCAGACCCTCAGGGACCCAGTATGTTCACATCCCGCTGGCCTGGACTACAAAGGGGAGCTGAGATGCCAGTCCCAGGCAAGGACTGGCCACAGGCACACCAGCCTCATGGTGTGTGTTCTCATTCGCAGCCCGCTCCAAGAGCCTGGTGATGGCAGAGCAGAGCCGGGGTGCCGGGCAGCCGCTGGGCCCCCGCAGGCCAGGCCCCGTGCTGAAGGCCGGCTGGCTGCGGAAGCAGCGAGGCATCATGAAGAACTGGCAGCCGCGCTGGTTCGTGCTGCGCGGGGATCAGCTTCTCTACTACAAGGACAAAGATGAGACCAAGCCCCAGGTGAGGAGCCCCTGTCCTGTGTCCCGTGGGAGCCGTGCTGGGCTCAGGGAGGCTTTGCTGTGCCCAGGTCGGGGAGGCACAGAGACCCCAGCACCCATGTTTTCTTCTTATCCCCAAGATCCTGGCTTGGTGCAGGGAGCACAAGGCCAGCTCCCGTAAGGAGACCGCGCCCTGTGCCGTGGACTGAGGCTGTCCTTCAGCTTGAGGACAGCTCTGTGTCCTTTCCAGCCCATTTCCTTCCATCACTCAGGGAACTGGAGCCCTGTGCCCAGCACCTCTTTCTTAACACCAGTACTGGGGACCCTCCTCGGAACCCAGGATGTCTGACTTTCCATCCAAACTGTGCTGAGTTCATCCACTCTGTGTCCTCCCTAATGTGTGGGCCATGTGACCCTGTGACCCAGCAGTCTGCATGCCACCTTCCAAGACAGCTGAGCTAAGAGGGTGGGGCACCCCCATCCTTGGGACAGGGACAGGGGGTCAGGTGTCCTTGGATTCAACCACTGTGGATCAAAAGCACTTAAGAAGAAGCAGTGTCTATAGTGTTCCTGGGCAACCCGATTTCTTACCTTTCTTCCATGAACATCGCAGACTAACACTGTCTATAACCTCGCCGCCAGGTGTTATAAGCAATCTAGGAGGGTGACCGGAAGTATCCAGGTCATCCAGGTCATGTACTGTTTTATATAAGGGACTCGAGCACCCAGAGACCTCAGTATTCATAGGACCTGTTCCTGAAGATGGCAAGGGACGTCTGCTGTCATCCCTTGGGCAAAGTGGGGACGGGATGTTAAAGGGCAGGTCCTGCATGGGCTCCTGGTCAGAGGTCACATCTGTGTGCACCCCAGTGGCTCCCACAGCGCGGGGCTGGGAGGTGTGCGGCGGTGACTGGCCGGGACAGAGCAGCCGCGTGCGGGGTGTGCACGTCTCTGTCCTTCTGCAATATTTTCTGTTCTTCCTTCGAGGAAGATACGGTTTGGAGGGAGGGAGCGAGCCTCGCTTTGCAGCCGCAGTTGGACTTGGAATCCTGTGAGCTGGTAACTCTCTGCTCTGCAGTGGTGTTTATTAAGTGTTGCCTCTGTTGGTGGGAAGTAATTTCTGCTCACAGCGATGCTATTGAGCCGGCCTCCTAAAGTACCTCTGCTTTAGACACAAAGAGTATGCATCACACTGTGAGCTGGCTGAGTGCTACTGAACCAAGTGATGTACTTCTAAAAGGGTTACTGCAGTGAGCTGGACGTGGGGTGCACACCTGTCATCCCAGCACTCTGGGAGGCTGAGGCAGGAGGGTCAGAAGTTCAAGCCCACACTGGGGTATTTAAGGACTTGCAAGATCCTGTCTCAAAATAAGGGCTGGAGATACAGCTCGGTGCATAAACGCTGGGTTCAAACTTTGTGTTACCCAGATTTCACCACAATAAAGATAAATCAAGGAGAACTTGCAAATAGATGATACTCAAATGAAAGATCAACAGGACAAAAATCATGTGATTGGACCTGAAAGGAAGATTAAAACAAATCTAAAGAAAACGGGAAACCCTGGTCTTGCCCAGCCCCACCTCCAAAGGAAACAAAACGACGCCCAGACCAGTTAAGTGGGACAGACAGGAGCTTTGGAACGCGATGGGTCCGAACGTGTGGAAATTGTATCTCACACGCTAGCTGTTCTCACACCTCGGGAGGCTCACTTAGTGTTTTAATTCGGGTTTTGTTTGTAGAATGAGACGACCTTACCTACACCTACGTGCTGGGAATTCAGTTGCATACCTTGCACGTAACTGAGGGCCAGTCTGAGCACACGGGGAGCTTAAGCTGAGCTCATGTGGCCCCGGACCTGACTTCGTCCCCAAGCCCACACTGTTTCCCTCGTGGCCTCTATCAGCTCTCAACCACATCTTGGCTTTCCAGGCTGACCGGTGATGGGCCACTCTGATGACCACCAGGATCCCCAGCCTTTCAGAGCCATTCCCAACCAGCTGCAGCCTTCAGACCCAACCTAGGCCACCTCAGCCCCACCAAAGCCTCAGGGGCTCTAACACCCTCTCCCCAGCATAGCCGGACTCCACAGCAACCCACACACCAATCCCCAATCTCACAGCAGCAATGCAGCCAACTGACTGATTCGGCCAACATGGAATGTCACAAACTGCTGGCAAAGCATCCCCACAGATTTCTATTTAATTGCATGAACTCCATATAACACACTAATTCTCAGTGTCTGCTTCCGGGGAAAATATCCCCTGCTCACTGTCCCGGTGACAGCATGACCCAGCGGTCAGTCGGCGTCCTCCCACCAGGCAGCTGTATCAGCTGCTGTCACTGTCTGGACCAGGGACAGCCAGCACCCGTGACGCTGCCCAGACCTCCGGAGTCACGATAAGCATCGCACAGCCGTGTCCCTGTTCTCCGCCAAAGCTGCTCCTTTCTGTCCCCTTCACAGCGGTCACGGGGTCAGGCCTGGCAGAGGACACAGTCACACACAAAAGCACAGGCCTGAGAAGGTGACTCCATCCCCCAGAACGAGTCCCTGTGTCTCCCATACTCAGCTTCACAGTGAAGGACTCCCTGACTTTTCATCTGAGTGGCTTTAACTTCTGCTCCGAACGTTTGCTTGAGCCGTGGAAACCTCTCCCCCCACGTCCTCTGCGGAGTAGCGTGGCCGATTGCATGCCTTGAAGACTTGCTTTCATCCTTTCTCTGGGTCTTTGTGGGTTTCTTGGCTTGGAATCCAAACGGGAAGTGTAACCTCTGAAACTTAAGATGCAAAAAATATAACAAAGTAAATGCGATCCACCCAACGGAGCTGTAGGAACATGGGGAGAAGGGACAAAGCAAGAGAGCAGGCGAAAGATAAAACAAGCAGACAAGGCGACAAGTACAGGTACAAGCACTGCGGCTGTCATAGCCAATGTGAGCCGCGTGGGACAGTGCACACCTGCATCCAGCACTCTGGGAGGCTGAGGCAGGAGAACTGCACGCTTGAGCCCAGCCTGGGCATCTTAGCAGTTTAGTAAGACTCAAAATAAAAACTGATTTATTAAGGGAGAGGCTGGGTGTGCGACCCAGTGCGAGGGACCTGGTTTCAGTCCCCAGTACAAAAAATGAATAATCTATGACTTAAACGATGGTGAAAGATTTCCGCCTGAGTCCTGTGTGGGAGGAAATACCAGGAAGAGTCGGTAGCCAGGCTCAGAGCAGGCATCCACGGGGCCCGGCCCCCTTCAAAGCACAGAGGTGCCACAAAGCCAAGAGGGTCCAGAGGGATTCCCTTCTCTGGCCCCAACACCTCCATGTGGACACTGGCATTCCCGGGAGGCAAAGACCAGTGAGCTGAGGATGAAGAAGGAACAGGGTGACTGCCACACCCCAGGACCTCACGCTGTCCGGCATGTCCTTCCCGGGCTGGACGTTTGGCCAGGGACAGGAGTCACAGATGTGTCATGCCTGGACACTGACCTAAGCCGGTCCTTGCTGGGCTCCAGTCCAAAGGACCAGCAGGAGGGTCACTGCGTCCCCTCGCAGCTGGAGACTGCAGCCCAGCGCCTCTGCCGGTCCTGCTTGACACTGCCTGGCCCCTGTGGCGTGGCACAGTTAGATGAGCCAGGCTTCTTTCATTCCCTCTCACTCCCCGACATCAATCAGAAGAGCAAAGGAATAATGTGACAGGGGCCCCTTTATGCACGGAGGATGCGCACCAGGTCCCCAGTGTAGCCTGAATCTGTGAGGTACTTCTGAAGCATGTACATTGCTTACCTAGACCTGTACGCGCAAGATAAAGTTTAATGCATGAATTAGGCACCATGAGGGACTGACAGCATTAACCAATAAAATAGGATCATTAAAACAACACACTGTAATAAAAGCTTGCACTTTGGGGCCTTTATTAAATAAAATAAGGGTTACTTGGGCCCAAGCACTACACTGTCACAGCCGTCAACCTGATAAACAAGCTGCTGAGTAACCCCGGCAGGTCACGGTGCACGGCGGAGATACGCAGGACAAAGAGGTGACTTGTGTGCAGAGTGGCTTAAGATTCCCTCAGGTTACTCAGAGTGGCGCACGACTTTAAACTAATAAATCACGATTTCTGAGAGGGACATGGTGGCACATGCTGGAATCCCAGCATGCTGGATCACAAATTCGAGCCCAGCTTGGACCACTTAGCCAGTCTCTGCCTCAAAATTTTGAAAAGTAAAAAAAAAAGAAAGGAAGGAAGGAAAATTTATGCCAGTGATGTAACCCATTGCTAAGGTCCTGGGTTCGACTGGAAAAAAAAATTACTGATTTCTGGAATCCTCCCCTAATATCTGCAGATTGCCATTGGCCGGAAGTAGCTGGAAGGCAGGGGCTGGCCGGAGGGTGACAGGGGCTGCTGAACTACTGAGCAGCTTTGCCGGCCCAGAAATGTGTCCTTTAATAGCACCACAGTTTTCAAATGTGTGTGGGCGTAGGCAGTTCAGGGCCACATTAATATTTATTTTCTCTGAAATCATCTAATTAGTTGATGTAAATACTGCTAAATGTCCTCCAAACCCCCCCCCTTCCTACCCGTACTACAGTCCCCTGGGTCAGTCAGCTCTGGTCAAGCGGGGCCAGCTGGCTCTGTGGCCTCCGCAGTTGACCGATCAGGGGACAGGAGACCTGCGAAGTTCACACTGGTCACGGGCAGGTGTAGAGGTACAAGGCTGGCCGTGACACCACAGCTCCCACGCGGTCCCACTGCCCCACCTTGGGAGCTCAGGAGCAGAGAGTGGTCCATGGAGATTCGGTGACACTAACAGTGCACCCCAGATCCGTCATGAAGCCACACGTGCCTTTGCCTGTCCTCCCTTCTCCCGGGACCAGATAAACATGCCGCTGAGCTCTCAGAAGCTAACCACGCCCTCCACCCCAGGCATGTGACAGGCTCCTAGCTGGGAACCCAGGAGGTTCTGGGGCTGTGCCAGGGCCCCAGGCTCAGGCCGCACACCTGTCCCAGGCCCTGAGCCCTGGCCCCCACC